TTACCTATTAGGGCTCGGGTATTCTACATACCTATTACAGCAACATTTTCTTCTATTATAAACTCGCCAAAATAAAGAATTTATACAAACAATCCAAAAACATACCTTATTAATTTCTTTAAAAATGGAGATATATAACTAAAATGTCAGCAAAATTCGAACAAGTAATTAAGATGCAAATGTGAAATGTGGCTAATATTAGTTGTTTCACTTTGAAAAGATATAAAAAAGAGATATTTTTAGAAAATTCAAAACTTAAAAGGCTTTCATTTAGGAAGCAAATGCAGGGATACAGTGTATTTCTAGTAATTTCTATTGCAATTGTTGGAGGTTTGCTGCTTGCGGCAAATTATTCTAGCTTAGTATTTTTTAAAAAAAATGACAAAACAGCTCGTCTTTGTTAAGAATTAAAGACAAACGGATGTACGGTTATCAAAAGCCTAATCTTACATATTATTATGACATTATCAGGCTAGATTTTATCAAAAGGCGACGCGAATAGACATGTAAGGACGTTGAATACTCAGCAGGCATAAAAAGAGTTAAGATTTGTTATATAATATTAAAGGATAACTCATTTGGGTAAAAAAGCATTAAAACTACTTGAGTTAAATGGATCTTTTAGAAGAGAAACTTGGACTTTGCTCTTACTTGCTGTTTACTTCAAACACAAGGAATGTTTTTGGTGCGCTATTAGTGTGTCTCCTACGGCTTTAAGTAAACATACCAATTCATGAATCAGAGACAACAAACGAAGATAACACTTGCTCTATTTTTGTACATTTGAATCCATACCGACCAAACTACTTCTCTCCCGCAAATATGTTTAGAAGTGTAAATGCGCGACAGATGGGCAACGTCAACAAGGAGAGTACTTTATTTGAAAGAGATGTTTGTACACAAATCAATGACGATGAACACGATCGCGATCTTTTCCATTGCGCTTGCGATCTGCAAAATGGTAAAAGTATGCATTTAAATGATACTGGATATAACTGCATACTGCAGTAAAACATTTGAGAGATTAATCAGAGCGTGGAATGTTACGCAAAGAAAGAAACACTAAAGATCAAATTTATTTGCGTATAATATGCACAAAAGCACTAGGATGCAGACGGTTTCTTAAAAAATCTGATGCGAATATTCTTTGTGACAGAAAATCTTAAAGCAAAATTAATGGAAATAAAAAAGCGAAATTTGGATTTTAATAAACCAGGTAACTTACCGGAGGATTCTTCCCGATCTCCACGACGGCGATCGCGTGAACGACTTCGGCTTCGTCTAAAGTGGAAGAAATAAGGAAATGATACAAAAGGCCTAGACAAATAATGTCATTTAAGTATAAGTGGGTAGTGTCGACTTTCTGAACTACGTCAGAGATTCGAACACAAAACTGATGAAAATCATACCTATCCCTAAATATTATCACAAGTAAAATACAACACCGACAATAAGATGAAGTTAATTGTTGTGCATACTATACTGGTTGGGCTTTATAAAGTAAATGAAACAATATCTGGTAAGTGTGAAATCCGTTAGTAATTCATATCTCGGATGAAAAAAATAAAGCATTTTATGGCCTTAACGCCAGAACAAACTTTGTATTTTGTGCCACATTGGTACCAACAATAGCTTCTACGAAATACCTAGCCACAAGGTCATCGAACCAACACAAACAATAAGCACAGAGGAAACTTACATTGTGAACTTTCGGTCTCATTGAGACAGCAAAACGCCTTACAATTAAAATTTGTGATTCTGAAACTAACCACTTCGGTGTGATACATCAACCAAATTAATCTAGATCCCGACTATCAATTGAATTTTATTCACAATTAAGCACAATATAACTGCTCGACTCTTTCTTGACAAGATGCAACCGGCCATTCGTGTTTTGACACCCGACCGTTTGTGAAAAAGAAGATAGAACTTTTAAATAATTTTGTGTTATCTCATGGATGATGTCATCGCAGGCAGTAAAGATCAAGAGGAGCACAGACGCTGCTTTCCCACGTCTAAATGATTAGGATTTAATTAACAATCCTTCAAACTGCGTTTTTGGTGCTTCGAGGCTACATCATCATGGCTACTGGTGAGACCTATAGATGCCCATGGATTTCCAAAGGCCGACGTCCACCAATCAACTCCACAGTTCCTCGTGTTTGACTAACTTCTGCTACCAACCCCTGCCTCTAACAAATTTACTCAAGGATATTTCTATAAAACTGAACATGACGAACGAGGCACACCTACAGAATAAGTCTTGGCGACCGCAACAATACACGTCTGACTATCAGATGTCCCTCTGTCAATGTCAACCGAAAACTCTCCTTCAATAACTGGCGCAATCCAGCAGTTAACCCTTTGTGGAGCAGAGAAGCCACTAGACTATTTTAGGTACAAAAGCAATACAGCAACTTCGGACGGAAACTCCTGGCTAGTTATCCAATAACCAAACTTGGAGGTCGGCAATTTGTGATCTGCACCGATAACAAACCACTGACCGTTGCCATTTAATGCAGTTCTGACTGTTTCTTACAGATATTCACGATACAAATCTCAAACAACATCTACCAAACCAGAGACACGAAAAATACTTATCCGGTGCATCCACTTGTTCCTACATCGATGACGTTACCAACAAGTCTCAAATTAGTCTTGAGAATGCGGCGATTGGTTCACAATTAGACGTCAAACTACACGATTTCCAGAAACAAACGTCGGAATCAAAGTCATTCAAGGTCCCTCTTCTCAACTGATACGCGAGAAATTTACCTAGTATGGCCACCTCGAACTGTTCAAGTGTGGGCAAAATGTACTGGGAGAACTAACAGTTTCAAGAATAAAACAGGGAAGATGCACATTGCCATAAAAGCAACTATTTGCAGTAAAATAGTGGAAAATACCTTCGCCTTTCTCTCTTGTCTCTGTCTTCTCGATCACGTCGTCTTTCGTGGTCGTAATCCCGGTCATAACGATCCCGATAGGGGGAGTCTTCGCGGTGGCGATCTCGATGCCGGCGATGACGTCTACCTTCATCATCATCGTCATGGTCACGATGCTTATCTCGTTTACGATCCTTGCGGTCCTTCTCATCCAGTTCGGCTTCTTGAGAGGCCTCTAGTTCTTCTGTAATGTTAATGTCTTCTAAGTCCTCATCAAGTAGAGACTGTCGAGGTTCAAGGGTATTGTTATCTTCTAGAACTGATCGCTTTTGTAGACGCGGAAGAATAACATCACAAACGCGCTCTTCATTAAGTAGCTGGTCAATAAACTCATCCATGCGAATAATTGAGAACTCTACAGTGTTTGAAATTGCATCCGTTTATGTAAACGTACTGCCAGCGGTGTCCTGTTGCTTTAATTTGCGAAAGTCGTTGTACAGAGCTTCTAAATACTTGTAGATCTCCACAGACTCCCCAACAAGACGCAAATAGAAAGCACCCAGAGCCCTGGCGTACCTAAAGTTTTAGTGTTCACAGGATGCAAGCGCTCACTTGTAATCCTCCTGCTTGATAAATTCAATAACAATGTCTTTATCAGGCTGTATCTGCAACATTTTCAACACAAGACATAGGAAGGGAGTTGGTTTATTTAAACCACTGTAAGTGCCTCCCACATACTTAAGTTCCACCGCTTTATCAACGAGAAGCTCAGCTACAGGAGTAAATTCTAGTAATACATAACCAACATGTAAGTGCAAAGCAGTGTTCTTTCCAAAATTGGCACTCATATATGCGACTTCTTATAATTTTTTCAATCAAATATTGTGGGTTTGTGCCATGAAGGGTATGGGCATCTTTGACCGTCCGATTAGCCATTTTGGCACACGAATATTATTAATTAATCGGTCGCCACAAAAGTGACCAATTAATCAAAACCTACAAAACGTTTAAATAAAATTAGAAGAATTAAAAGCATTAATTGTTTTCAAAACATTTTAGCGCTACATTACCTTAAATAAATTTATATATAAACAAAAATCACTTCCCGTCATTTGGTTTGCAGTGTTTTAACATTTTATTTTCTAAATGTCGTGAGAAAAAAGGGAAAAATCCACAAGAGAATTCTACACGCCAAGTTATGTTAGCCCCAAAATTTTTCGAATTAAGATCACATAAGCACCATGGACCTCTAATTGCTATGTAATCAGATACTTCGTCAAACCTAACAGCATGACATATGAATTAATGCAAGATCAGAAGAAAGGGGAAGCTAAAGTTATCATTTGCCAAAATTGGATGGCCATGAGTTTAGAAGCATTTGTTGCGTTTTATCTAGCACTTTGATGCTTCGTCATCATTGTGGAGGCTTCCTTTCAAACAGGAGCAACTCGCTTCTGTGGCGATTTAATCCAACCGGAATCTCTTCACTTCCAATTCCTCACAACGTTGCAGTGTTATAAATAAGCATCCTTTCAGCATGACAACCTATCCGATAGACTACGCACACTGTTTCATGGTGGTGGGTTCTTGCTCCATTGGAAGTCAAAACCGTTTAAGAAGTACGACGGAGCATGAAAGCGACTGCACACCTAGTTGCAGAATGCATTACTTGAGTACATTTGCTGCACTCTTGCCCCAGCCACGAGGAGCAGTCGGTCTCCTCACGGCAGTCCGCCACACCACAAACGCCATTGCTTTTGTCTGTCTCCATCCACCTGCACATCATCATCACCATCGTCTTGCAATACCGAGCTTTAGCTCTTTCAAATGCGCCTTGATTTCTATTTCTGGAATGCTATTATCATTTCTCACAGAGATGGCATGCGCAGTGGAACCTTGGTGAACCGATGTTGAAACACGGACTTGTGCACATATACGCAAGGAAGTGGACTACTTTCAAACAAACTTAATGTAACCAGGTTCATGCCTTTTGACTCGATGACTATTTCTCAGCTTCTTCTTCTAGGTAGTACAAAATGCTTCAAAACTCATTTCTCCTTTAGTCCATTCAGTGTACATTTACAAAACAACAAGGTATGAATTGGAATTGAATATTTGTCATTCGAAAGGTATAAAGAGGCGTGCGATGTGCCCAGAAGTACCTACCAAGTACAAATAACAGGCTGGCTTTGCTTCCCAGAGTAACGTAATATAAGCAAATGCATTTCAGGTGGCTCTACACGCTCTACCATAGCCCATACTTAGTGCCAGGCAGTCCAGTTCGTACGATCGAAGAATTAATTCAAAAAACTGGACGGAATCGCATTTGCAAAAGCAGATAAGACAATGGAGAGCAATATACAGTGACGGCACTTCCAATTGTCAAGCCCTTCTAAGTCGACTTTGTGCAAGTCTGCACTGCATTCGGCCATAGTGTCGTCAAATCGGCCATGCGTGTCAAGATGGTCAGATCAGGCTACTTGAAGAAAAGAGGATTAGATGAAATGGCATAAACTCCCCCCAATGGCATGTGGGATGTCTGCACACTCTCTGCTACGCATCACGGTGAGACTAGTTACACTAACCCTGATTGACGACATCAACAGGTACGGTTTAAACGTCTTCTCAAGGACCCGAGAGCAAAAGGTATCTGCAAGGAAATGTATTAACCTATGGCATAAATCTGAAGATCAGTAGGACATGGAACCCAAGCATGACGCAGAAATGGCAAAGCGTGGATGAAACACACATGTGGTTCTACTAGGACTGCGTCCACCGCGGGGTTTGGGAGTCACTGGGAACCAATAAATCCCGCAAAATTCAGTTCCTGGAACCTATTTCTTCGTTGGTGTTGCCATCTCGGAGATCAGGGCATTCCATTCAATCTCAATGTCTGCCAGTGGCAATTTCAGAAGTTAAACATGACGTGCGACGACCTCCTCTGGAAGGCCCCACAAAGCTAGCGAAGCTATGGTCGCCTCTCGAACCACTTCTTCATTGGTCCTTTTCATCAGACGGCAGATTTTTGCCACGTAGTTGATCACGAGTTCTCTGAGACGATAATGACGTCTCCCGAACTTCCCTAGCAACCCGTTGGCTGTAGTAGAGAACAGGTCCAGCAACTTGCCCATCAGCAGTTCGTTTGGTGTTTCGGTAGGGCAATCACCTCACTGTCGCAGACAAATTGCACACGACCTTATGCGATTTTGATTGAGGGTTGACACCGTCTAGAATTCTTCCATGTCTTCAAGACACTCCTCTCTAAACAATCCATGGGATATTTGTTCTTCATGCTCTCGTGTTATAAAACATTAGGCTCTCTTTGCATTAACTATCACTGAAAATAATTTATTTCACGTTTTTTGGTGTACTTGATCACATTTCTAATTGAAATCCGATCGTCAACAGCTACCCAAAAATGTCATGACGTCAGAATTGCTCTGATGTTAACGCATTTATTTTATTACCTGGTTATTTTGTACGATCTGATCTAACGAGCTAACAATTTGCCCTTTACAAATTTTGGTATGTTTAGGTTTTGGTCAGGATAAAATTTCAGAGGTAATCTGTGTGACACCATCACTACGTTTTTCTAAAATAATTTTTAAGTATATCCTCCTAACCCAGCTACATAACATAAATTCCTGAAAACCACTTTTCATTTTGGCACACAAGTGTAGTTGGGAAGGCATTCAATTTCTGCCTCTTCATTCCCTCCACATTATGCCACTAAATGTAATAAAACTTTACGTTTAAGTAACTAGTGATCAATAGCCCTTCGAAATTATCTGAGGTGCGCGCGTATATGATGGTGAAGTCCTCCTGCTGCCCATTTTCACTCGGCTTGGCCAAGAATCACTTTAATTGCCCCCCAAAGGCAAGAACGGTTACTGTCATGCGATTCATTTAAGCTCTGTTAAACGGAATAATGTATTCTGGTAAAATAAAAATGATCTCTCACACGTTTCTTACAATACCTCAGACACGCACACCGTCGTCTGTTAGTAATTACTCGACAGAAGTGAGTAAATGTCACAGGTTCCGTTCTCTCTTATGACTATTTTACTGCATAGAACAATTATGATGAAAATATTCTTGCTGAAATATACTTCTGTTGCCGTAATTTTATTGAACATTAGTAATTTTGTTCCCTAGTTGAAGATTTACACAAATTGCACGGAACGGCTAATACTTTCGCTCAAACTCCCTACATAGTGTTACAAAGTTGAAACCAAAATGCGGGTCAACTGATAAAGTTGTCCTGTATTATCAAATTGACAATCGCAGCGCTGTCGACAGAACATGTGAACCTGGACGCTTTAACTCCATAGTACCAGTTGTGGCATGAATCAAATTTTACTCACCTCTTCACCAACACCAATCACCTCAAGGATTTTTCTAGAAAGTCTAGGTGTTTTCTGTGTTCCAGTAAGCACGCAGATTTTGTGGCGGCATTTTTACTTAACAGTTGGTTTGCCAACGATTTTTTTCTGCTTCATTTACTATAACATGAAAACGCATTTTAAGAAATGTACCAATTTGGTAAAATAGGAGAAATTGATTATGGTACACAATTTTTGTTTCAAACTAGCATAACACATGATTTTTCTCTTGTAGTGGTCCATGAGTACCATTATGACAATTGCTCATACATACCACACTTTCAACAACGAAGTAAAGAAGCCGGTGAACTCAAGCCGACTGAGAGTATCCTTTGTAAGTAATTTTTTGGTTAGTCTACACACAGATTGAAACAAGATTCTGTGCATGCATCCTCGTTCTGTAAAATCGCGATGCTACCAATGTATTAGATCAAAACCATCAGTCACTTTCAGAATATTAGAGGTATGTTAATTTAACAAAACACGCAATAGCCGAACAAAGTCATAATTGAGTTGCTATGTTTGAATTAGTAAATGAGCTTTTACTACTGACATTCCTGTTTTCAAGTCTAAACTCCTCGAACTGATGCAAGAATTTTTCTATGGTAAAGTATTCAAACAGTTTCCGTACAAACACTTGGGGACTGACAAAAAACTCTTGCTTGCAAAGATCGATTTTCGGCTCTACAATAACCTCATAGATGCTAAACTGTGACCAAACAACCAGCAAACTTAGTACTTTACACTTTTAACAGCGGTTGGGTTAGTTGAAGCGGCATTTAAAAAATTTCGAATATAAATTGCCAAATAATCATTTCAAAACTTTTTGACGGAGTTAGTCATGGTTATTAATTGCAATGTTGTTGTTGCAAGAGCTCACTAAAATTATTCATGTAGAACTTGTAGAGGAATGTTTGAAGAGATTTTCCAAAGGATAGATATGTGAAATGAAGTAGACATGTTCATTTAAGCTTCACAGAACGCATTTCCCACGTTGCCATTGTTTTACTTGACTGATGCACCCACTTTAGGTTTTATGGCTTGCAAGCAATGAATTGACTTCAAACATTACTTGTCTTCTCTTTGTTCTTTGACACTAGGGGTTGTACATTGGGTTATATGCATAGTACGAATAAAAAGCATGCATAAGCGACTACAGTTTAAACTCTCGCAGTCATCCTCTCCTTTACCACTTACTGACAATGACACTGATTAGTCCTGACCCTCTCAATCGTAAAACGGTATCCTCGTTCCTTTTACTTCATTTGAGCTCCAATATTTAGTGAGAGTTCAAGTTCTCATAATTGTGAATTTGCGAGTCATGATACATGTGATTTCATGCTCATTATCAGCTACCGACAGGATAAGCAGTCAAATGTATTGACTAATTTGACCAAATACCTTCGTATAACCTTCATATAAATTTCCAAAAAAGCAGTTTTTACATGATCAGTTAATTCAAACAGCTGTACCTCAAAAAATACATTGTATAATTAACGTGTCATAGCCCTGCAGGCGAGAGTCTGTCGGACAATACTCCACTATTCTAGATAA